AGAAAATTAAAAAAGACATAACATAAGAAAGGATAGGCCCAGATTAAGGCCCATTACAGCAAAGAACATAAAAGATAAACAGCCTATGGGCCATTCGGCCCATCTTCTCTACAAATGTTGAGAATAATCCATTGCACCTTAGCCTTTTTTGTTAATGCAATCAATGATAAGCTTCGAGCCACCCTCAATAATGGTACCAAGATGGCTGAAATTTCTCAATGCTTAAGAAGCTTCCCATGCAGGCCAAGCTTTAGCCTCACAGATACTATGCCTTCCAATCTTCCTTGTCTCCATAGCAATGATTGTACCAGAATTATCACAAGCAACCCACCCTACAGACGCTTCATCATTATGTATGACCATGTGTCAAAATTGATCTTCACTTGATTGATGCTTGGGGGCTTCCACTTGAGTAGATGGATCTGCTGCTGATGTTGAGGATGAGAACCTGCAATGCCGTAATGGAAAGAGAAGCTCGGCAGCTGCCAGCTCAATTAAGCGAGCGGGATTTGTGCTATCACGATCAAATAAAATGCTATTCCGTTGCTTCCACACATATTAAAAAATATAAGCACTTTTTTCAGCATTGATCTTTGGTTGCTCACAAAGCCTACAGAGCCACATGGACACATCCTAATTTGGCTTGGGAATAAAGCCCATTTGATCAACCAATTGCCAAGTTAACCTTGCAGCACTATATTCTACAAAGATGTGATCAATAGTTTCATCACTACCTGTGCAGACCATGCACATTGGGTCAAAATTCCACCCCTTATAACGTAATCTTAATCTTGTAAGAATCTTACCCGAGACAACAAACCATAAGAAAATCTTCATCTTCGGCTGAATATTTAATTTCATGATGAACTTATTTCTAACAATATTTTTGTTAACAACCATGAGATTTCTTGCAAGCCAAGTTGCCAATTTGATGGGAAAAAAAAAATCCATCAGCACTGCTTCCCCACCCTATCCTATCAGATTGGTTAGAATCAGGAATAAAAGTGCTTGAAACAATTTCAGAGATGTTTGGCAATCTCGTTCAGTTTATGACTATCCGCCTCCTAGTCTCTTTATTTATAATTTGATCCACCCTAAGGTTTGAAGGACCCTCCCTAGCTCAATTGTCTTGTCAAAAGGAAATTCTCTCTCCAATACCAAGGCTCCTCTTAATCCACTTTTTAATATGCCATGGGCACTAAGAATACCTATCCAGCATACTTATCAAAAAAAAAAAAGAAACAAACTATCTCTCCAGGCAATCATTTTTCGTGTCTTGTCAAAAGAAAATCATTGTCCAGAGGCTTTCTTATAGGCCTTGAGAGTATTACTAATTTCTTTTGCAAGCAGATGGTGATGCTTTCCCAAAAATCATGCAATCATTAGTAAACTGAAGAATTGGAATTTGAGGCCCTCTCTAGGAAAGGAGATGCCAACACTGCTCTTTCTAGCTTCAGTTTTTTGAACTTTTTGCAAAAGTTTAAAGTCAAGGTTTCAGAGCAGATGATAAAACACCTTGTACATCCTCTCATGTACATTTTTTGTTCTTCTTTTAGTGATATAGCAGTTGCTTTATTAAAAAGTAATTACAAAGAGGTGGAAAGGTTTCACCCCCAGTCAAAACAACTACAAGCAAATGCAAAAAATCAAAAACAATTAAACCAGCAGTAATAGAAATCCTCTAACATTTATGATTTCCATTCGTATCACTTTTTCAACTTGGAAGAAGCTTTTTTGTGATCCACGCCCTCCACCATCGGGGTTTCAGAGTGCAAAACTTAAGCAAGTGCAAATATAAGGTGCAAACTATAGTACTTAAAGCTATACCTGTGCAAATTTTCATTAAAATGACTATTTTTGTTATGTTTCTTGGAAGGTGGAGAATTAGCTTCAGTGTCAAGTAAAGAGAAGTCCCAGTTCCCAGACCGCCAGGCAGCTTCATACTACAGTAAAAAAAAAGGCAAGAAAAGTTATTCCATTCTAGTAAAATTAGCAGTCAGGGGATCTGAAACTAAAAAAGGTAATGTAGAAAACCTAGAAATACTAGTAAAGGGAAAACATAAACAACATAGCTAGTGAATTTTTCTATCTCGGCAGACAATATATTTATTGTTATAACATGATATGAACCTGTAACTCTGTAAATTCTGAATCACGCTGAAACTGTCCTTTCTGGGATGTCAGTCCTTGGCAATACAGGTCTAGCACATGAGTGCATCCAATTAGCTGCAAAGATCTCATCAAGCCTTTGTAAGGTTTCCTCTGCCTCACCTCGTCTATGGTATTGGTAAAAGGTAGCAGATGGGTAGCTTGAGAATGTTTCAGTGAAAAATTGTTTGAAACACCAGTCATTTGCATCCCTGGTGATGATCTTATTTGTAAGTCATAGTATTCAAGAGCTTTGCTCCAGTTTCCTTCATGTTCGTAGGTCACAATTTGAGATGTCAACTGTGAAAAAAGCAAGGTTTAAAATGTTGATGTCGACGGAAATGTCGCTTACCAAAATATAGGACATATGTCAGAAATGTCGAGGGGAAATATTGTAAAAATTAGAGACATTGTGGAAATATTATGAAATATGCAATGGTATTTTGTAAATGATAAAAGAAGCATTAATACATATTTCTAGACTATTATCTTATACCCAACCATTATATAAAGCTAAGAAACTAAGATCAATAACAAATTARTAAATGMYRATTTACTGATTTATTATGCATTTTGATGTTTTTACAAGGTTATCCGATATTTTCTTTTCTTATTTGTAAATCTGATTTATTAAAATTCTAATATATTTATTTCACACTAGTAAATAGAAATACATTTATTCGGATTTTTTAAATATTAAAGTTATAATACATTATGTTTTATTATAAATTTAATAAACTGATTCTCCTTTTTGAACTATTAAGGTTATGACAAGTTCTGATTTTTTATAAAACTTAATGAATTTATTATGAGTTTTAATACTAAATTTATAAAAATTTATTAAATTTTATACTTAATCATAATTTATTATGATTTTTAATACTAAATTTATAATGAATTATGATTAAGTATAAAATTTAATAAATTTATTCTCATTTTTTATATTAAATTTTAAATATGATTTATTATAAAATTTAATAAACATTTTCTGATTTTTATTACTTTAAAAATATTTTATGTTTTATATTATAAAGTAATTAATTTATTCTTTTGTTTTTATTTTTTGTTAATTCTTTTTTATAAATATTTTATTTGAAACATTAAATAGAAATTATTAATGGAATAGCTTATATTAATATAATATACTAATATAAGATATTGTTAATGTACATTAGTTGACATCCTATTGACATAATAGGAAAAATTGTCTTTTTTTTGGTTATTTGGACCGATTTGGTTGACATTTCCGAAATATAGGAAATGTCGACCGAAATAATGTAATTTTTATATTACCATCCATTTTCATGCCGGTGAGCCTCGACATCGATATATGTCGGGCGACATTAGCGAAATTTCACAACATTTGAAACCATGGAAAAAAGTACAGTCCAGAAAGCACAACTATAAGGGATAGAAAATATGAATTATTTACTACATCTCGTGCAGGGTCCTGATTAATATGTGCAGTTGAAAACAGAATGATTTGTTTGAAATAAAGCTTTATTAAAGAGATAACATGTATAAAATGCAAAGAGCTCTGACAAGAGAACCAAAGCAACCAGAGCAAAGCCATAGCATGAAGGCAGCAGCACCAAAACAAATAAAATACAAGGATTTCCCCCCTATGCCAGATTCTGAACAATAAGCTCCATGTTTACCTGAAGGTCATTCTGGACTTGTTTTCTTCCATAAATTTCCAAAATCCTATCAATGGCCTCAAGTTGTGCCATAATGTTTTATTTTGTACTTCCAAATATTCTGAAATCCTATCTATTTCATGTTTGAGGTCTAGTCTTAATACATTGTTAACTTCATCATCAATTATGTTATTTCCCATAATTCCATCATGTTCAACTTAACCTTAAAAAATCTTAAAATGTTATTTATTTATTTTTACTACCAAACCCTATTTGCCTTTTTTTGTCGCTTTCCTTATCTGGCACAACACAAAAGCTCCTCCCTCTCTTCTTATCTCAGCACAATCAGAGGTCCCCAAAACTCCACCACCTCTCTTCTTTTTTCATAATTTCATCTTTATTTGTCAATTTTCTAGGGCTACCCTGCTAATAGACATCTATTCTTCCTGGTATTCCATGCAAGGAAACATCACCAGCGTCCATTCTGTGCACAGCTGAATGGTCATTATTTGCCTCTAAGAAAGCATCTTGGTCACTTTATTTCTTTTCCTCGTAGAACAGCCTGATAGCCATTATAAAATAGCTTAACTTTTCCTTCCTACAAAGCATCATGAATCAGAGAAGCAAGCATTATATCAACCACATCTATTGTTTCAGGAATCACTTCAGAATATAATCCATCTTCAGTGTTCCTGCAATCTTGGGACTATCCTGCTGAGCAATGTCAAGTGTTGTTGGCTTCTCCAAAGAAGCATCAATGACATCAAATGCTGACTGTTTGAGTTAAATACTTTTCTGCCTCTCTGAAGAGAACTTAGATTTTTGGGAATGAAAAAGAAGAGAAAAATGTTTTTTTTTCGTAAAAACAAGGGTAAACTAAGGGAATGCTACTAGCCACCCATGTTAGGTAACCATGTTCCTACACTAACCCATCTACCAATCAGTTGGCAGACCTTGGCAGACCCATGTTAGGGCATGCTACCTCTCTGAATTTCTATTCACACCTCCCTTCGCTAACCCATCTACCAATCAGTTGGCAGACCTTGTATCAAACTGTAGATTGCAATCATAAGATTATTTTTATTTTTACAAACTTGTAAAAAAATGTGGATGGCTAAATCTCTATTTTTAATCCATATCTACCATATATGTACTTAAAACAATAGAATCTACCACTTGTACAATAGAAGCCAAGATGATATAATCAAGTTTAACTGAAAGGCAAATAATAAACAAATTATATGACTAACATAAATAAATTTCTTTTTAGTAAGGTCTTTTAAAACAAGTCTCCCTTGACAAAACTAATATAGATTCAAAACCATAAGGCTTTCGCACAAAAGGATTCAAACCAGAAAAGATCGATTAGAATTGGATGTGATGTATAGTCTAGTTATTTATTCAGTTTTCTCGTAGTGATTTATGATTTTCACAATGACAGATTGACAGAACTATCCTAAACTTCAAATAGGAGATGTATTGTACTTCAGTCACTAATTTAACATTGTCTAATCTCCATATTTTTAATTAACATTGTGCAAAGGAAAATATTGAAAGATCAATATCCAAGCAAACAATTTCAGTCATGAAAATGCCTAAATAGATAAAGGGCAGGAAAATATTTAAGAAAGGTGCAAAACACATTGCTTTAGAATTTCCTCTGATTGCAAGCAGATAAAAACATTACTATAAATAAGGGAAAATACACAAAAAGCCTTTAATTCCAAACCAAATAAAGGAAGAGTATGCCAACCCACAGAAGCATGACAAAAGATGTACAAACCAAATGCTTTTCAGAGGCATGCAAAATAATTACATCCAACTATGAACATCCTACAATACAAGTGATTACAAAACTAAAATAATGTGAAAAAAGTATGCTCTGCTAGAAGGGCTAACCTTATGTGACTGGATGATCCCATATAAACTGTCAGGCTCATTTATTTGTGTTACTGCTGAAATTAGTATTTCAATATGAGCTGGTAGCTAGAAAAGAAATGAAAGGTAGTCAATAGAACTCTTGTATTATATAATTTGGTGCAAACATAGGAGAACAAAATCAAGATAAAAAAAAAAAACCTTGAAATATGATTGAACCTCTTCAAGCTCATTTTCTAGTTTCAATTAAATAAAATTTTCAGCAAAATAAAAGGTTAAGACATGGATGTAACCTTGTAGGGAAACTGCCAACTTTGGGTGGCATGGTGATGAAAATACAATTCAGATGATTAGTTCCAAGGGAAAGAAGCATTGTCATAAGGAGGTGGCTGTTTGACGGATTTCCGAGTCATGACCTGTTGAATGTTTTAGTTTTGCGGCTGGTAATTTGGATATTCAAGAATGGTGGCTGTTCTCATAACTATGGGCTAGAATCCAATGTTATGTGAAAGAAAATGACCAAAGAAAAGGTATTTAATTTCTATAACTTTCTCCCTCCAGTTTTAGGGCTGCTTACCATTTCTAGATGGGAGAAATCGGGGTTTCCCAGTATGAGGCTGTTGAAATGCTCTTCACACCAATGCTCAACATACAATACAGAAGTGAAGTATGAACCACAACGCTGCCAAGTACAACCAGAATGAGGACGCATGAACATTTTAAGGAGAAATACCAGGTAATCACAAACTAAGATAATAAATGGGTACGGTACTCACAATTGCGGACTCAGCAACCACAAGATAATCAATGGAAAGCCAATACACCTTGGAAACATAACAAATTGTATGAGAAAATGTGGACAATCAAACCTATCATATTTGTTATTTTAATTGTAGAAGAATCAGAGCCTGTAATCAAATTTGATTCAGAAACATCCAAATCCAATCTGACTAATGAAAATTGAAATCTGAACCTAATCGGATTTGGGGATCACAGATTGGATTCGAATCCTATCAGACTTCGATCAAATTCAGGTTTCAAGTATATTTTTGCCACAGTTGATGAGAAAAGGCCATTACCCAATGATGGTCCCAGCTATCTAGGGTCTTTGGACGGGTAGACTGGAAATGGTCCTTACTTTGGAATTTTCTTGCACAAAGTGGCAGCTCTCAGACTCAAACAAGCATTCTCAAGCTTGACAGCCCAAGATTTTACAATTACATCAAGTGATAGCCCCTTTTCGTTGCAGTTGATAAGATATCAAAATCTACATACATACATATATGAGATGTCTTACCTTCTCCCACAATAATGTTGATATTCCCATTGCACTTGTTGCAATAGATTGATCCTTAGCTTTTTCAGCCGTGGCACGAGATCTTGAGCCGTAACTGGATGGTCTACTATGCTGCAGAATCATGATATCACTAACATTAGTAGATAAAACACTCAACATTAACAATTTCACAACAATTACAATTAAGCAAACTTTAAAATGGAAGTAATTTTATTGAGCTATCTATTAAGATTGTTCTCCATTTATGAGAAATACATATTTGATTTGCTAGTCATGCTATTAAATGATGCCTAAAATGACAAAGGTATTAATTTATAACGCAGATGGCAAGATTACTTAGGTACAAAAGGGACCCACATATATCTCTCACCACCCATGATTCACAGGAAAATTTTCAGCTTTAAACCCCTTGCTATGTGACCAAAAGGTGGGATATGGGCTTCTGTGGTCTGCAGAGTCAATATGTGGATGATCCAGATGTTTTAGCATGATCTAGTTGTGTTTTACAGTTCCACAGTTTTTGACCCCAAATTTCAGAATCAAAGCCAAATATTTCTAAAAAAACTTGAAATACCAGAATTTTCTATCCTAATGACTTAAGAACTGCAAACAGATACCTCTGTGTGTAGGCACACGTGTTTAAGACATTTTTTGATATTAAACATTAAGCGATACCAGAGTTGATCTAGCCAGATTATCTGAGATAAAGCATAAACCTTATAGGCATAAAGAAGTGTAATATTATGAACTTCTATGTACAAGGCAATTGCATATATTAATTATATCATTGCACAAATGTATAATGAATAATAAGAACAAAACAACTTTTAGTAACACATTCCACCTCGTTTTATGAACCACATTGAATACAAGAGTTCATAAAGGCAATTAAATAAGAAATCACCTTTGAACTTTCTCGGTTTAGCGGTGTTGGAGACAAGGCTTCTCTTTCCATTACATGGCATAGACGAAGCTCATTTAGCACATTTAACATAATCTGTATTGATTTGGTCATATCATTCAAATCTGTAAAGATATTCTCTTGAACCTGCACAGAAGCAAGTATATGTTTTGATTCTATATTGGCACCAATTCGATTGATTGCATACACATACATATTCATATACATACTCGATCAAGGTGTAGATTTAACAGAATTGACCAAGATTTTCTTAAAACCTAGTACCAAAATGATATATACCATAGTACCTATGTGCCAGGAAAAAAGTACAATATGTTTTTATCTGCATGTATTCTGAAAAAGAAACATCGAAAGTGTCGACAGGGTACATTTATATATATTTATCTTACAAGTTACAAGTACAGCCAAACCAAACCAGATGTTTTCTGCTTACTCCTTGTCAAAGTTAGACTGTTAGAGAGTTGGCAGGAGAATCAGTAGACAAGGGGATCCAACTAAAAACAGCTTCCATCACATTAGCAATATGCCCTGCTTCCCTAATCTGGTATCCAAAGTGGCATGGTCCTTAACTTTCTCCTTTTAACCAGCCTATGATTGTTTGTTATCCCCTGTTAGAGATAGAAAGAGAACAAGCATAGAGTTCACTGCATATGACGTGTACAGATTCTCCACACCTGGTAGCTAATATCCCCTGAAACATCCTTCTTAGCAGGCTAATCAGAAATATACTGGCTAATCTTGAAACCCAAAGGAAAGAGTGTATTCTATAAGTCAAATATCTTCCTTATCTAATAGTAATATGATAACTAAGCTTTCAAGGGCCCTCAAAATGTTCACTATTTGTGAGTCTCCTTCCACAATCATCCCTTAAATCACATGCTTAAGGATAATGACAGACCTATTATAGAAAGAATTCAAGCTCTGCTTTAATTGAGTCACATATCCAGCAAGGCCTGAATATACAAGTGAAATGCACCATTAGTATTCCTGGAAATTCTCCATACATGATGTCATGGCCCAGGATTCCCAAGTAACATCTATCTAAATATAATTTACTCATTTCATTGCTCAGGGTTGTCCACTGCAGTAATTTAGGTTTAATGTTGATGTGATATTGCTCAGGGCTGTCTAATAATCAACCCACCACCATTTTTTCATTCACCATGTGGTTGCCGGGGGCTACTTGTCACTTTTCTCCTTCAACCACAGGAATAGTTTTTGGGATGACGACCTATTTATTTTAGTCTTAGAGGACACAATGAGGTCAAATTTTTAAGATTAATATAACATTTTTCCATACATTGGAAGCGGAAAGACTTAAGAAATTTTAGGATAGATCATGATCTTTCTGAATGATTAGAATGAACTTTATGGTGCTCATGGATCAGTCATGATCTTTCTCAACAGCTTAGGTAGGGTAGATATTGGGAGGAACTGGAAAGATATCTCAGAGGCTTCCTTAGCCAAATTTTGACTGTTTCTAAACGGTAAGAAGTATTGTGTTAATAGGTTAAAAGGGAAAACCCGCAAATGAGTAAAAACTTTACATGGTTAATGAGCTAAAACATGGAATTCCATTTACATGTAGATAGTATAAAACATCAAAAGAATAATTGGAAAGCATTTCATTCTAGTTTCCCATGAAATGATCATATTCAGCTCTTCAAAATCCATAGAAATCATTAACCAGTTGATCAATCTTCCAGTACTTCATATAGCTTCCTAATGGGGGAACTTTTACCATAAAAATGTGGCTCTGCCCCTCTCTCCAAGCAATGATTTAAAAACTGAATAGGAATCAACCTGCACAGGCCTCTGTTTCTGGTCTGGGGAGGGACATATGTAAAAAAGGAAAGCCCAGTGCACGAGGCTCCCACCAATGCAGGATCTGGGGAGGTATAGATGTACGCAGCTTTACCCCTGCACATACAGAGAAACTGTTTCCATGATTTGAACACTGGTCACTCAGGTCCCAATGGAGCAACCCAACCATTGCGCCAAGGCCCAGTGGCCCACCCTCTCCCCCTGTCATATCAGTACACCGCCATAAATAAATTAATGGAAAAGAGTTAAGTGGTTCAAACAAATAAGTCCAACCGCAGGTTTGACTAAAGTTAATGGATTTTTAACATTGTGGAATATAGTTCCCCTTGGCCTAATTTCATAACCCCAACGGCTTTTAAATTTGTTGATGGTATTAATGGCTACATTGTCCCTTTTTGCCAAATTGTATTGAAGCATTCTAGCTTACGTAGAAGTTTCTCTCCCAAGGATAGATCATGATAAGCTCAGACATGCTTGTAAAATTGTTTCCCCTTTTCCATTTTTCTAGTAAAAAAGTTGTAAAGGAAAAATGCAAATATGAATCAACATGCAAGAAGATGTTAAGTCCCTTTATGAGGACTGAATTGTTAGATACTGCGTAAAAAGTAGAAACGGTATTTTGTTGGGTAGGAGGAAGTAGGAGACCTTCAAAATGAGTGTAAGACTGCCACAAAACAAGTGATCCTGAACAATCCATGGCAGCACTATCTATATGATCTTCTATTATTAGGTACCACTTTTCTCCATTATGTTCTTCTTGCAGAGCAGTTAGTTTATCTCATATTCTACTTAATACTATAAAGAGAATCATTGGAAGGTTAGGCCAAACCCAACCTGAAAAAGGCAAGATGGGTCGGTTTGGATTGAAGTTTGGGTTAGCATTGACAAAAATGAACCCAACTTAACTTCAGGTTGGGTTACAGTTGAAGCCTTGGCCAACCTGACGCAACCCAAACCAGCCATGTCTTCATATTTTTATGTATAAATATGTATATATGTACGTATGTATGTATGCATGCATGCATGGATGCAATAATGCATCCATTAATGTATATATATATGCATCAACAATTTTAAGTTTGAAGGAAAAATTTTCTAGTGTTATATGAGCATTGTACTCCCAAAGCACCAACCTGAACCTGACCTAACCCAGGTTCAAAAATTCATGTTAGGTTAGGGTTGACCTCAATATGACCTAAACCAGGTCAGGTTTTTAATTAACTCTGGTGATTCAGTTTATAACTAACATAGGAATATTGTTCTCTGATGCATAAATAAAACCTTAGCCTGCATGAGATCAAAAATTGCAAAATAAGGGTAAATGCAATAAATGGAAGACAGGCAAAATGAGGAAACATTGGGGCAAAACATACTAGGAGGTGTTCTTCAAACCACACATACATAGAGTGACTGCAAAGCATGTCACAAAGCATAACATAATAAATTCATTTAGCACATAAGTTTAGATATAAAGCACTTAAACATAAGAGGAAGCAAATAAAACAGTATGCAGAACATAATGAAGCACCATGCAAACTAAGAACAAAAAGAACAATCAGAAACCAATCAATGTTAAAACCTTTGGAGAGATTAATTTGCAAAGATCAATGTTTAAATCCTTCCGGCCTGCTAGATTGGCAAAGATGTTCGGAAATAGAAGCTCAGCAACTTCAGCCTTTAAAAGCACTATATCTTGACAAAGYCTGAAAATGGCATGTAAACCTACTGAATCAGCCTGGCAATCAACAACTGAGCATTGATGCTCAATTGAATGCAAGTAAAAAAACCTGAAAGTTGTATAAAATAGTTGTACGGGATTACAAATAGGATACCTTAAAATCATGTCATTGCTATAACCAATAAGTGAGTAAACGAGGGGGCAAATCCACATCTCATAGGTTTTTCCATGTGTATTCCAAATTGAAGAGTCTTCCAATGAAATTGCTTCAGCTGTAAATAATGTTGAATGAAATAATGTGTAATTATTTACCATGTTACCATCTCAATATAAATTAAAACAAAAGGCAAAACAAAAAACAAACATGAAGAATCAATTCCTTATTTACACCAATTACTCAATAAATCAGTTGATCTTCACTGGTAGTGGGGATTCATTAAGAGCTGAAATCTCGGCGGTCTGGAAGGGGTAAAAAGAGCACAACAGCTGAATATCAGAAAACTGATAGTGGAAAGTGATTCAATGTTCGTCATTGGCTGGCTGCAAAGGGAAGAGATTGGATTTTTGAAGTTCTTAAATGAGAAAAAGAAATTTAAGCAGTTGACCCAGGACATGGAAATCAAGTTTCAGTAGATTAACAGAAGTGTAAATTCATTTGCGGACTCACTTGTCAAGCAAGGGGTGGGAAGAGAGTCTTTTTTGGGCAATGTTGTAACATGAATATGAATCTTGGGGAGGGTTAAGAGATTTTACCCCTCCCTCTTTCCAATTGTACTCTCTGCTGTTTTCTGTTAATAAAATTTCTTTTAATTATCCAAAAAATAACATATAAGTTATCATGCTTGTCTATCCATCATTTGAGTCTCCAACAATTATTCCAATTTTACCTATGGACAAATATGCAAGGTCAACCCATGGCACGCCATCATATAGATAAATAATATAATATATGTATATATTATCATCAAAGGAAAACAAAAGAATGGAGGAAGAAAGGAGGGAGAAGTAGGAGAGAAGAGAAGGGAAGAGAAGAATTGATCTAGAGCCCAAAAAGGTAGCCTGGTGGCTCCAACTCTAATATTTATATGTAGTGGCTTTACAGTAAAGGTAAAAAGACACTAGTGCCCTTGCAACACATAAAGTAAGAAATACAACACTTCCCCTGAACTTGGAGCATAGATGTCTATCATGCCCAACTTGTCACAAAGATAATTGTGTTGCAAGTGATGAAGTCCCTTTGTAAACACATTTGCAAGTTGCTCCACTTTCATGTTTTTCCCTAATAAAGTGTTTATCCACTTCTATGTGCTTTATTCTATCATGGAACATCAGACTGGCACCACAATTATCAAAAAAAAAAACATCAGATTGGCACCACAATATTAATGGCAGCTTTGTTGTTACAGTAAAGTGACATAGGACCATCCATACTGTAGAGAAGATGGGCCGAGTGGCCCATAGGCTGTTTATCCTTCCTTATTTTTTATGTTATTTGCTGTAATGGGCCTTAATCTAGGCTTTATTCTTTCTTGTGTTATGTTTTTTAATTTTTTGCCCAACTAGGGGCCTCTCTGTAAATTATTAAAGTTTAACTTAATGAAATGGAATTAGGGGTGTAAGAGAGAAGATTATGTTCGAAAATCTCTCTCTCCAAACCCTAGTTGCTGCCACCTTCTTCTTCTTCTTCTTCTCTCTTCTTGAAACCTGATTTCTGCTACTTTCTTTTGATTTTCTGCAATATTTTAAACAGTCATTTCTTTTCAAAAGGTTGTTGTTCTTCTTGGTATCAGAGCAGGCTCGCCTTTTCCCTCTTTTCACCTCTTTTTTCCATTACACAATGTGTATGGAGAACTGAATCGTATGAATAGTTAAAGAAACCTATTTCAGCCCAGTTGTTAGTGGTTTCTGGAGAGAAGGGGACTAGTTTTGTCGTCCTTCTGACAGATTCAAGTGTGTTGCCCGAAACCCTAATTTTCTAGAGAAATCTGATTGCATCATGTAGATTGGTGTTCTGTGAAGTCTACAAGGAGAGGCTGAGATTTCTCTGTTTCTCCCGGCTTCCAGGTGTGACGCAGGTAGCTAGTACGGCTACATAGAGGTTGGCTCACAACACAGTTTTTGTTCTGTCTTCATTTGTTGTTATTCGAAGTTGTTAGAAGTTATTTTCAAAGTATTTATGAAGATGAACCCTTCAGAAGTTGAAAACAAGCATGTTGCTGAATCCGGACAGGTTCCGGGAGCCTCTGTAGACTCCCTACTGGCTGTGACCATAGTCAAGCTGGATGGAACTAATTATCTGGCTTGGTCACAATCGGTAAAAATTCATATCTGCAGTAGAGGCAAATGGGGTTTTATCTCCGGGAGCAAGAAGGCTCCTTTAGAAGATGATCCATCATATGAAAAATGGATGCAAGAAAATTATATTGTTATTTGATGGCTTGTAAACTCAATGCAACCGCAGATTAGTCAGCACTATTTGTGGATGAATTCAGCAAAGGAAATTTGGGATAGTGTTGYTGAAACMTATTYCYARAAATTAAATGTGGCYARGGYTTACAAGTTGAGAAGTGATGTGAAGAATTTGAGACAGGGGGAGAAACCATTAGCTGTGTATTTCCCAATGCTGAAGCCTTTATGGCAAGAAATTGATTTGATAGAAGTTGTAGCCTGGGACACCACTAATGATGTTGAGACCTACAGGAAACTTGTTGAGAGAAACAGGGTGTTTGAGTTTTTGACAATGCTGAATCCAGAGTATGACATCACAAAGCAAAATAGTTTATCCAAGGATAGTGCTTCTTTGTCCATGTCCAAGGGGCTGGTCTAAATGATCACTTTGCTAATATAGGAGTGAAACCCAAGGGAGTTGCAGGGACTCCAAGTAGCTCAGGGAAGAAAGAAATTATTTGAGTACTGTAAGAAGCCAAAAAACACTAACGACAAGTGTTGGAAATTGCACCCTGAGCTTCTTCCTCTTCGAATTCAAAAGAAGTCAGATAATATGAAGGCAGGGAGTGCTAATATTGCTGCTGGTTCAGATAATGACAGATACCAAACTGAAGAGATGAATGCTAGAGAGAAGTTAGCAGCTATGAAGGCAGAATATGAGAAGTTTGGGAGGATGATCAGTCACCTAGAGGGTGTGGCCTCTTCTTCCAACCCTCAAAGAAATTCAACCTCTTCTACATTTGCTCATTCAGGTATACGGGCTTCTGCCAATCATTCAACTATTTCAGGTAATCGTAGGATCCCTTGGATTATTGATTCTGGTGCTTCTGATCATATGACCAACCTTTCCACTTTGTTTCTTATGATTTACTTCCTGGCCGTGACAAAATCACCCTAGCCAATGGCTCTCTTGCCCCTACCTCTGGCAAGGGAACCATCAAGTCTACAGATTCCTTAGTACTTCCTTCTGCTCTTCTTGTACCCAAGATAAATACAAATTTGTTATCTATTAGCCTAACTAAGTCATTGAATTGTTGTGTAACTTTCTTTCCTTCCTACTGTGTTTTTCAGGATCTGGAGTCTCAGAAAGTGATTGGGAGTGGCCATGAGGCGAATGGAATATATCTGCTGGACACTCTTGGACAGAGTCATGAACAACCTGGAAAAGTTGATTTTGGGTCTACATCTACAGAGTCCATCAGTCGAGTCATGTTATGTCGTTTTCATTTGGGTCATTAGGAATGGCAACTGGGTGGGGCAGCCCCCGTCCCCGGCCCGTCCCCGGTATCGGGGTAAAAATTCAACCCCCATCCTCGGCCCCATCGGGAATGGGGAATTCCCGACATATCCATTGATACAGACTTTAATTTAATTTGTGAACAAGCACATTATGATGAAAGAACACGGAAACCTAATTAAACAATCCATTGATTCGACTTTAATTTGTGAACAAGATACAGACTTGCACGCTTGATGACTTGAGTGAGAAACCTGATTTTGAAACCGGCCATTTGGACTTTGGGTAGTGAATACAAGGAATGGCCGAACCCGGTGGACGAACGGAGAGATTTGTGAACAACCTCTCTATCTTCTCAGTACTCACTGTTACAAACATTGTAAAAGGGAGAAATTGGGCGGACAAACGGAGAGACAAAGAAAGGAAGAATGATAGTATGGCGGTTCCTCTCCAAGACTATAACTGGTCACTGCTCTCTACTGCTATGGTGGCTGCGATGCTCGATGGTCGGCGGATGAACGGAGAGAGGAAGAACAAAGAGTGAATCAGTATACGAGAGGAAGAACCTGGCGGTCGGTTGTTCCTCTATGCTACGGCGGCAGCGACGACACGCAGCGATCGACGGCTCCTCTTCTCTCCAGTTGACAGGCAAAGTCTGTGATGATCGGAAGAGTTGAAGTCTCGAAGAGTGAATCAGTGAAGTCTGAGAGAGAAACAAAACCTAGGCGGCAAGGCAAAACATCAAGACTCAAAACCTAACCTATTATGTATTACCTAATACCTTTTGAATTTTTGTAATTCATAACCGTAATCGGTACGGGTTGGGGGATTTATATGCAGACCCCATCCCCGCCCCGACCATGGTCCAAGGCAAAAGAAAAATCCCCGAACCCAACCCGTATACATTTTGTAATCAAGGAAAATCCGCCCTGTTCGGGGCGGGTCGAATCGGGGACCCAATTTTTTGGGTAAAATTGCCATCCCTATGGGTCATCTTTCTTTTTCTGCATTGAGTCATTTATTCCTAGAACTGTTTAAGGGAATTAGTCTGTCCAGTCTTCATTGTGAGTCGTGTGAATTGTCAAAACATTGTAGAAGCAGTTATCCTTTGAGTAATAAAAGATCTTCTTCTCCTTTTCATATTGTACACTCTGATGTGTGGGGGCTTACCACTTTCCTTCTATGGGTGGCTACAAATATTTTATCTTGTTCATTGATGACTTTTCTCAGTTCACTTGGATATTTTTGATGAAGTCCCGTGATGAAGTTCCCAGACTAATGAGGCAATTCCATAAATTTGTCCTAAACAAGTTTGATACCAAAATTAAAATTTTCAGATCCGACAATCCAAAAGAATATTTTGAGAAAAACCTGACCTGCTATCTCACTGATTTGGGGGTTATTCACCAAAGCTCTTGCGTTAGGACCCCAGAACAGAATGGAGTTGCTGAAAGAAAAAACCGGCATATTGTTGAAGTTGCAAGAAGTATTCTATTTGCCTCACATGTCCTTATAAAATTTTGGGGTGATGTTGTTCTCACTGCAACCTACCTAATCAACCATATGCCATCCAGGGTTTTGGGGTTT